TTCCTTCTCACGGGATTTTTACTCCTTTTAAAAAGAAATCGTTCCTGTTAGTTCCTTTCACTATTTTCTGCCCTGAAAATACCCCCACCCCATGCCCTCTCCACTTTCTACCCACCCAAATGTTTTATCGTTACAAGATAAAAAGAGCTTTTTAAATTTATTTCACGAAATTCTATTAATTCTTTTTTTCGCCTTTCTTTTCTTTCTACATGTACATATAAAGGAGTATGCATTTAAGAAAATTCTTCTCTTTTTCAAAAATTATAATTTTTGTCGAGATGGGCATTTTTTTTTCTCCTTGTGCAAGCTGAGAAAAAATACGTATAAGGATAAAGAAAAATCTGAAGTCCCCGCGGCTCCACGCAGACTTACGAAACGATTATTTATGTATGAAAGCATAGGCCATGTTCGCTCTCTTTTCCTTATGCGCCCTCCTCGAAGTTCTCGATCCCTTCATCCTCTAGACCTCTATTCGCCAAGAAACCTATAAGCAAACTCGTACGTTATTCATAAGTCGTGGATGAGCGATGGATATCTGTCTCCGACGTTCGCGACCAACGCGCATCGTCGAGTGCTCTTTTTTTGCTGACAGAAAAAAAGGGGGAAAGAAAACGCATGAGAAAAGTGAACTCAAAGTCGAATAAGAGCAAAATCTTGACGACTTTGGATATGTCACTTGAAATAAAAATGAATCACGCAAAAGTTTATGGCAAGATTCTTTTTTTTAAACTTTGCTTTTCCGATAAATCAATAGAAACTGTTGAATCTATTTTGTACAACTGTTGTAACTCAAAAAAAAAAGAATTTCGCAAATAAAGCTTTATATTTAATTAATGAATATAATTATTTATTTGAATCCCACAAGATTAGGAGCAAGATACAGGAGCCCTAAATGTTGTTAACATTTAAAGTCCCTCATTAGAAAATGGTATTATTATTTAATGATGAATAATGTGTTATAGAAAAATAGAAAATCACTGAGAGGAAATTTAGCCACTACTATATCCGCAATGAAGAAGATGACTTTAGAATTGAATTTCTAAAATTACAAAAAAAAAAAATTATCAAAAAATTTGGTACTGTAAAAATTTTTCTATTCTCTAACCTTTGATTAAATATGTGGTTGAAAAGAAACAGGGATTGTTTCTCATGAATTTAATTTAAACTTGTATATAAAGTTTAGTTCTTCGAAGAGACTGAAATCACTCGTTTCATAATATCAGAAACTGTCTCATTAAGAGAAGTATACTTGAAATGAGGCTTCATCATATCCTGTTGAAAAGGACATAACGAGTTTCAAGATGAGGGTAAACTTAAGTTATCATTTCCAACTTAAGTTTCAAGACTTTGTGTTCTGACAGTATCTTTATCTCTTCTTCAGAATTTTTTCTTTTTTTACAATTCCCTTCATCTCGATCCTTTTCATCACAAGCCCTTAAGGAAAACATTAATTTATTATTTTTAGAAACTAAAACTTTTACCTAATCAATAATGTAATTAATAAGAAGGAAAGTATTAGAAACTAGAAAATTTCTCTTCCTATACCCTGATTGTAAAATCATTGTAAAATCATTTTTTTAATTATCAGGAACGAAACTAAAGGGAAATTAATTAACAAAAGTTTGTAAAAATTAAATAATAAAATTTGTAAAGCCAACATAATCAAAATGAACTTCATTTCGCAATTCTACAGCAGATTGAATTTTAAGCAATCAAGTCATTAAATGGAGAAATACATGAAATAAAACATTGTGTATTGTCGAAATACATCTGTTAAATCAGACTCGCATTTAAGCAATATATATATATTTACCGAATAACAAATATTCTCTGATTTCATTGAATTGCACTTCACTTGTTTCAACGATCCATTTACTCGTGAATTAATAATTTAGTAAACTCTGTACACATAATATGTGTATACGTTTGAAAATTTAAAGGGAAAATTGTGTATGATATTCAATTTAGATGAGAGTCATCTTTTTCATTTATTGTATATTGTATAATGTGCAATTTTTATTAACTCAAACACAACTTAATTAACTGACTACATTCTTTATTGATTCATTATTAACAAAATTATTTACTGAAAATTCATTTTCTCGCAATAATCTACATATTGATTCTACTTGGTAACAATTTAGAGTATATGCGTATGAAGAGAACAAATTCAATTTTCTTTGTTTGAGTTTCAGATTTTTATTAATGATGATGATTATTATTTATTACTTACAAATGGGTATTATTGAAATTTTACTGATATAACATTTGGTAATTTATTATATTGACATTTTCGGCAATTTATTTATATCGATTTCATTTTGGAAAGAAACCGATTTTGGGAAATCTATTGTTGGCAATCATTCCATCAACTGTTGCTTACTTAAGCGTTCGTCAATTTAGTTGCGATTGAAAAATATTCTTCATAATTATTCATCATTAAATATTAATACCATTGCCTATGTGGCCGTTGAGAAGGAAACGATAACAACGTTCCTTCTGGAATCTTTTCCAAACTTTCCACATCCGTCGACTCGTTGGTGTTTATCAGTATCTGTAACAGACAGAAAAAGTAATATTTATATTTTAACATCTTAATATTAAGTAAGTAGAAGCTTCTAAAAGGATACAGCCATCTTAATCTTCAACAACTACTTCTCCATAAAATTTCCTGTAGAGACAGTATAGTGACACTTTGAGTTACATTAAATTACTCAAATAAGAACCTTTTTCTTACCTCCAAAAAGGACTTTTGTTCTTAAAGGACAATCTTTGCCAACTTCTTCAAAGATATATTCTCTCTTTTGATTCACTATACCTCCACGTTCCACTATCGTTCTTCCGCTCTCATTCTCCGTCGATCTGTCTCCATTTCGTGTGACGCATTCTGAACCGGAGGTCCTTTGTGGAAGTCCGCGGGAACTTGTAACGAGCACTCTCATCCGGCCAGTTTTCATTTCCCGAAGTTGAATATTCACGCTTCGAGTCATTGACTGTACTATCAATGTGCATTTAACGCTAGAAATTGTACAGCAGAGTTGAGTGTCGATAAAAGCGCGCATGTGGTGACAGCGCTGGGAATTACATCACGATTCACTCTCTCAATTATCCTGGAAAAATTTTAGAGAATTTTTTCGAAAATTTAAAAACTTTTAAAAAATTTCCAAAAATACTTTAAATACTTTACGTTTTCTATATTATCTATAAACTAAAAAGAAGAGTCTAAATTAATATTTAACCTTCCTTGTTGATTCAATTCATCAAGGAAATATCGTCGAAAATTCTGATCGAATCTCAACCCCCCTTTTCGTTTTATATAATCCCCTATAGGGAAACATGTTTTTTAATTCATTTTTTATTGAAATAATTCCAGAGGCGATTATATGGGTAAAATTGAAATTATACTGAAGATTATTCAAAAACAATTTCACTGAACAAATATTAACGATAGGTGAAATTTTCGAATATATGGGTTGAAAATTGTAAAGCGTGAAATGTAAGAGATAAAAGATCTTAAAGCTGCGTGAGTGTATTAAAATTTTTCATTATCCGAGCAGTCAGCCCATAGAGGAATTCCGACAACGTCCAGCGACGTTGTTTACACGCCCGGCCTTTATATCATCCATACGGCAGAATGTAATGAAATTTTCTATCTCCTAGATGAGTTTGCATAAAAATGGCATCACATTATCGCGTACGAGTTTACATGAAAATTTCATTGTCCAAGCCGCACAAAGTTTTTCTCGTATACAACATTGTATACATGAACATACATATATACATACATACAAAACACTTTTATTCACCTACACACTTAAAACCAGGGGCAAAATCCACGGTAAATAAAACACCAAGTTTATGAAAATGGCGAATTTATATTAAAAATAAAAAAAAAACACGAAATGAGTTTTAGCATAAATGAAAAGAACTATAGACGAGGAGATTTGCAGTTTCATTAATAATATCAAAGTTTTTACAGAGTCCAAATTTCAAGTATTTATGAATTTTTTACATCTCATTTCACACTTTTTTTTGTGGGAAAAAATTTTCCTTTTTTTAGAAATTCTACCCTAGGGATTTTAATTCAGGAAAAAAAATGTTTTTTGTTTGTAATTAATCTAAAAAAAAATTCAAATTTTTGGCAAAAATGTTTCCAAAAAAACTTCACTTCTGATGGATTTTTTTTCAATTTAATTAGAGATAAATTTATTTATTCTTCCCATGTATTTCGAATTGGGACAAAAAAAGACTGATCTAATTTGATTTGTCCTACGCTTAATCTATTTTGTGAATTTTTCCTCGTTTTTTTTTTTTTTTTTGCAAAAATCCACAGCCAAGGTAGGTTTTTTTTGGGAAAAGTTTCTCGTATCCGGGTACCTAGTTTGTTAAGCCTAGCGAACTGGACGTTGGCCAAGCGTGATTTGTAGTCCTATAGTAAAACCGAATCTGTCCTTTTTCCAACTCCCATCCCTTTGGAAATAGTTTTCGTGCTCGTCACCAATTTCACAAACCACGAATCCCTAATCTCGATCCTGTGCCTTTTTTCATTCAAAAATTCTACATTCGTCTGGAGACTATTTACGGTATATATATTTATTTTAAAATATCTCATCGTCACTGTTGTAATGAGAGTCAAACATAACCTTTAAATTAGATCGAAAATAAAGTCGAATTAACGTCTGATTTTTTGAATTCTTTAAAAGTAATTATTCATCATTAAATATTAATACCATTGCCTATGTGGCCGTTGAGAAGGAAACGACAACAACGTTTCTTCTGGAATCTTTTCCAAACTTTCCTCATCCGTCGACTCGTTGGTGTTTATCACTATCTGCAACAGACTAAAAAATTAATATTTATATTTTAACATTGCAATATTTATTTAAAAATATTTTTAAAAATACAAAAAAATATAAATATGCTTTACTCCTCTCTCAATATAACACTCGCCATTTGCAAACTCCTTTCTGATAAAAACAATTTTTTCCGTTTCATTTCAGGTAAGGACTTTTGGACTTGATCTGAAAATATTGAAGACTGATGAACTGACGTTCGTGACATGAAAGTAAGTAAACCTTTTTTCGGGAAAATGTTGCCGTTTAAAATGAAATCGTCTAATACCGGTGGTGGATCTTATATATATAATAAGAATAATCAGGGATTGAGGGGATGAATTTATTTTGTGAACGTTTGTCTTCCACTTGGATTACGTTTATATGTCGTGGGGGGAGGTCTACATATAAACGGAAGATAATAAACTTCACCTCAGCTAAAACGGAATACCGTAAAGGTCATCATGACATATGGTCAGCGCAGAAACTTGTTTTCTTCCTCTTCTTCTTCTTTCTCCTTGATTTTTTTTTATTCCATACGATCTTTTGGCTCCAGTGTGTACTTCCACTTTCGCCCTCTTTCCAATGAGGACGAGGACCAAAAGTAAATAAAAACAAAATGAAGGTGAGGGTTCTCGTTTCCGAAGAAGGAAGGAAGTGCGCCTGACTTTTTGGAGGGATATTCGACTCGTTAGGCAGGATCAGAAAAAAATCATGATGTGAATACATAAAAAATAAGGAAAAAGTTACTACAGATTTAGATCTTTTTTTTTGGGGCACTCGATAATTAATTTTTGAAAAGTAGCTTTAATAATTTGTAATTACAAAACTTGAATAATTTTTGTTAAATAAATATTGAAATAGTACTAACAAATAATATAATTTTTAAATTTATAAGTTTAATATAATATAATTTATTTATTATTTTAAAAATATTCACTTTCACTTTAAAATTAAATCGAGGTGAAGTGAAAGTGAATTGAAATAACAGAACACCATACACGTGTAATATAATAGTAAAAATCAATTAAAAATTTTTAAATCTTTCCTTGACCTTCAAAGGTTAAACAAAGAATCAATAAGAATAGTATTGAAAATTAAAAAAAATTTCAAATATTATTTTTCACGCTAGACACACTTTTTCTATTGATAATAGTTCTTTAAACCCTTTAAAGCCACATTTTTTTAGTTTAGACAACTGTTTATTACAAGGTAATCATTGAAACGAACAAACAACGTATTAATTATTAAATGGTGTAATTCTTATAAAAGCGCAAGCGAAATATATGAAAAGTTATTATTTTGACAATTGTATCAATAAAATAATTACAAATAATTCATTGCAAAGAAAAAAGTCAAGAGTTAAATAAGATAAAGAATTTAAACATTTATATAACAGAAGTTTCAGAAAAACAAAAAATTAGTCTGCAAGATATTCTTGATTTGTTCAGTTCATATGATTAAGTGGTGAGTCAATTAACTTAAAAAAATAAATTTTTAAATTTGAATTTGGTTAGATTAAAAATTGAAAAAATATAATAGAACATATTCCATTTGCAGATTGATTTTTGTGAAAAATAAAATGGAAATTGGGACTTCTAGTAACCTTTTTGAAACTGTACGGTTTATACCAATATTTAATTATCTAAACATATTGAGTGATTTTTTATTTTTAAATAACTACTTAGTGGAAGATGATCAAACTAAACAGATACCGATTGTTAATGCACTTCATGAATATTTAGAGGATAATCGAATAAATCAGTTTAAAATTGCAAAATTAACGAAAATTTTACTGCGAGGCAGTGATCTTTACGGAGAAGACAATTTGGAAATGTTTGATGTTAATTTTGCCAATGAAATGTTTAAATACATCATCAGTTCACTGGTATTTGATAAGTATGGTAATATTTATGGTTTTTTGGTAGACGTCATTCGTAGTGCAGACAATTTAAGAATTGATCATATAACTAAAATGATGAAAGAAAATCTCAAGAGTGCAAAATTTGAGAATGAATATAATGGCATTTCGACATTAAGTTCCTTATCAGTGGAAAGAATTTATAATGATATTTTATTACCCATGTTTCCTGAAACAGAAAATAATTACACTCTATTGTCTTTGGATTATATTTATGCACAAGCTGGTTCAATGTTCCTCTCATCTGGAAGAATAAGTAAAGCCTATTATAATAATTCAAATTACTACATAACCGAAAGTTTGAATAGGGAAAATTTATTCGATCAGTATTTAATGATTGGTCATATTTTGGAAAACTTGGTTAGAATGGAAAATGGTAATTTGAAAATAATCGAAGCATTCTCGATATCTGCCCTTGCGGTTCATGTCTACAATTCTAAGTATAAGTTCGCTTTCTTGAATGTCGAAAATATTGTTACAACTACAGAATTTTGGATTGATGGATACAAGAAATTGTTTCGATTAATAACTGAAAGTAAGAATAAAATAAAAATTGAATTAGAAAATGATTATAATTTCAAAATTCAAAGGGCCATTTCAACTTTTCAGAGTCGTACAGAATTGGCGAAATTCTTTTTGAATACACATTGTCACTACAATACAAGTTTATGGCTCTCAAAACTCAGGGAATATTTAAATAAACCCGAGTACTTTGAATGTGAAATTGGAAAGCAATTGCCAAATGTAAATGAATGGTACTTGCGACAAATTACGGACATCAGGAAAATTTATGGGCAGTACGATTTAGTATTAGTTAAAGAGGCATTTGGTGAATCCTTCATAGAGACTCTTGAAAAATCTAAAGTTATCATAAAACTCTTGCATCTTAATGATAAAGTAAATAATGGTATTTTCACCAATACCAAACAATTGCCATATGACGTTCTTGAATTCTACTATCCGGACACTATGACCCTTGAGCATTATGTTTTAAAACGAGACTACTTTAGTGTCACTCTAATAAAAAAAACCACCAACAATTCAAATTTTCAACAAGCAATCGGTATGACAATGGAAAAATTTCTATCCGCTAGAATATTGTACCGAGTGTTGAAAACAATGAACGAAACAATGGTTGTATTTTGGAAAAATTTTATTGACTTCAAAAAAAGAAGATTGGAGTCATACCTGCATTTTTTTCACATCTGTCGATTAGCCGAAGAAGAATGGAAAAATAAATTCTGGATTGAATTCAGCTTACCTCTACAACCCTTTAATTTCACTTCTTCAATTATAGTAGATGATAAAAATAGTTGCGAAATTACCGAAATAAAATACATCAATCACTTTAAAGAAGATCTAACCTCAAAGAGAGTGAGCGATAAAACAAAATTTTACTTTCTAACTTTAGGAACAACTATCGAAACAATAGATCTCTGGAAATTTATTGATGAAACAATCGAGAGTAGAACAAAACTTAGAAGCATAGAAGAAATTTTACAATCATTTGAAAGTATTAATGAATTGTCCCTCAATTCCGTAACGAAGGAAAACATTAATTTTCTAACAGAAATAATAAACGTTTTGAAAATAAAGACTAACCGAAAATTTAATTGTGTGAGAAGTTATCTTGATAAAATGCTTCTTCTAAAGTCCCATACCTATAAACCAGTTGATATTATCGGTGAAAATGATACCCAACTGATGTTCGTTAAAATTCTGAATGCAAAAACCGACACTGGTTATGGTTACAAATTCACATTTTTAAATGCCAACTCACCAAAGATTGTTCTAGTTCGAAGTGACTATCACACGAAGGAAAAAATATTTCTCCTTGAAATGGAAAATCCGGATATGAAAACATATCTTAGACTGAATCCAAAAACACTTAAACCAGTATTCGAGGACTTTCGGTACGAAATAAATGGACAATTGAGAAAAGAACCGACTGTATTTCTATTCAATGGAATAGCAACAAATCAGCAGAATGATAAAAATAAGGATGATTGTTATAATAAAGATTACTTTCTGAACTCAAAACGAATTAATGGTTGCTCCAGAAAATGGCTTTTGAAAGATAAAATAAATAATCAAGATAGAGCCACCATATACTTTCGCGAAAGATCAAATACATCCGATAGTTTTCTACTCGATATGTTTAATAACTATTCATTTCCCAATTATTTCACAATTTGGCAAATAATAAATGAATGGCTAGAGAAGGAAACCATACCAAATTGGTCAGATGACTATAAAATATCGAACAGTTACATATTAGATGAACTAAGATTCAAAATCCGTTTAGAAGATCATACGATAACAACATTTGATGGTATGTGCAGAATAAATAATCTTTATTCACAAAAAGAGAGACTTGAAATAGAAAAGGAATCATCATTGGAGACAATAATTTCCGACTACAATGAACAGGAGGCAAATAAATTGGCAACATTTTATGATTATTATGCAATAAGAAATTTTGCCACCAATGGTTTTAGGCGAATAATGCAAGATACACGTGAGGCAAAATTAATGAAAGTCGCTTTATATAGATTGGCAATAAGACAATCGGACGATCCAGAAGATGAATATGAAAAAACATTCTTTTACATCGAGACAAAACCATTGGGCTATGCAAAAAAATTATTTTTATCAAAAAAAGAAATAACATTGAACAAATTTACAACCGTATATCCTACAATAACATCGGCATTAAGATTCATTTCTTATCCTATTTATGGTTTTACGAATATATTATATAAAATTACATTTAATGAAAATTATATGAGAGTGAAACTTGAAAAATTTTACAATAGTGTGGAAAAAATTATAATTTTATTACCTGGTACAACGTTTATTATTAAAAATATATCAGAGGAGATTGCTGGAAAACTAGAAATGAATTTAAAAGTAGAGCTTGAATATAAATCAAGTGATAATGATGATAAATATCGATGGTATAAGAATATAACGAGTGAAATTTCACGTATTGGCTTGTAAAAATAAAAAAATACAGTATTTGACGATATAGTGTTATTTTGATATACAGTCAGTCCCCGCTACCTGCGCAACTCGCAACCTGCACATCCCCGAAACCTGACGCTCTGACGACATAGACCAAACTCGCTATGTGACTATACTCACTTTCACTTTTACCGCGTGCTCAGTGCCGAAAAGTGTCTCAGTACATAAGTTTCTCTTGACGACTAAAAATTTTTGTTGTGCCACAAATTAATTTAAAAAATTGAATTTTTTCTTTTTTCTTATCAATTACTCATTTGATACATATATTTTACATAAAGTA